TTGATGCTTTATTATTCTTTAAATTTTTATAGCATTTATTGATTATGTTTAAAGACAGACATTGTAATGCTTAGATGCATATTGGTTATAATTCCGCGGGAATCTTCAGCTTAGTGTGATCAGTTTTGAAGTGTGAGATTTAGTGTTTTTTGGACCAAGATATCTCTTCTGTTTTGGCTTCGATTCTAGGATTCTGTTACGATTTTCCGCTCTTCTCCACATTTCAGAACAACCTCAATGCAGTTTAGCTTCATTAGTTGGATTTCTTCAAGCGTCAACTTGTTTTTCTTTTGTTCTTAGTTAATTGTTTAGTATTCCCACCATTTTCCCCCTCTTTTGTTCATTTATTTTTAGTATCGATCTTTTCAATTCTGCATTGTCGTCCCACAGGAGATTCATTTTTTTCCGTTTGGATATTTTAGGAAATATTTCACATGCTTTAGCTAAGGAAAATAAGAAATTATTATTTGACTCCTTCATGTTGTTAGGAGTGAAATTTAGAGACCTGCATTTGAATTCTACTTTATTACTTAATTCTAATCTTACATTTTGATTTTTAGTGACTGGATATTATACCGTTTGTGGAATTCTACTATTCTGTTGGCTAGTGTTGTAAATTTTGTCGCGAGTACTCTATGATCAGATTCAAAGTAAGAGTAATAAATTTTGATATCTGTGACAAATTGCCTAAGTCAAGAGTCCAATTTACTTAAGTGAATCAATTTTTCTAGTTTTCACCATTCAAAATATGCTATGTGATTCAATGTTTCATGGGGTGGTTAAACCATATATTTAGGATGTTACGTTTTGAGGAACAAAAATATAACAAAAGCTCCCCGTTGTTTTTTGAGGCATCTATTACAAAAAGTGAGGTCTTCTTCCCATCAACCGATCTTTGATGTTAAAATCCCCATTAATGCAAACAATTTTTGCTTTTTTCTACAATGTTTCATTAACCCTCTAAAGAACTTCTCTTTTTCGAGACAACACCTTTTTCAGTTGGAGTAAAGGCTGATATGACTCTACTACGTGAAATCTAGAAGAAGAAGAAGAAGAAGAAGAAGAAGACGAGTTTAGTCATCTCCGACAAAACGAGTCGCCATCTTTGTCAGCGGTGTCCACTAATGATTGTGGCACCAAACATCAAATCAGTCCCGCCGCAAATCGGTCCGGGCGCGGTCGACACAAGCCAGCAGGTTGCCAATATGGAAGACATTACCATAGATCTTGTGTTATGAAAACGTAGTGATGTCGCTTTATCTCGATGACATCTACAGAGGGTCAAATCTCTGTGTTTTTTCCTCTTTCCCTTCACCAACTTTGACAACACTAATGTTAAGGGAACATATTTAAAAACGATTGAAAGTTTTGTCATTTTTACTACCACGCTTTTTATTATTATTTTTTTATTAGTTTTAGAAATATTTGCCACAATGTGAATCGCTTACATTCACTAGGATCAAGTGATAACAAGTATAATTTAGTGTTCTAGAATTCTTCTCACTATTCTTAATCATTTCTGTTGTCTGACCAATTTATATTTTTTTGGTAGTTTTTTAATTTTGTTAAAGTTTTCTTTTTTTTTTCGAAACATCTATAAGTGCCCATGCAAAAAATTTCAATCTTTCTAATAAGTTCAATTTTTCTTCTCTTTTTTCAGTTCTAATTCAAACTATAGTTCTTTGGGAATTGGTAATGTCATCTCCTTTTCATGTATTACTTGGCAAGTCACCGTATGTTACATGGTACAAAAAGAAATGAAAATTCCCTAAGATGATACCAAAGAAAAAGGATGACTGATTCAATATTCTATAATGCGTTAATTTTTCTTATCAGAAAACATATATATTTCTCATTTTGATTTTAAAAGTTTAAGTATTGATTTAAAATTTTGACTCGAAAAATGGTTTCATGGCGTTATTTTTTATAGATAAATTTTATAATTAATCTCAGTTTTTATCAGACTCTTGTTCCTAGTAAGTGAAAGCTGGTGAAGTTTCTGGAACTGCAATTTCTCTGAATAAAACTTTTTGACTAATTTCCAGCTTATAAAGAGAATTAATATTTTAAAAATACCCTCGTTCTATTATTGTTAGATTATTTAATAACTCATCTGCCTCTCCTGATCATAAAAATGTTTTTTTATCTGTGTAGAGTATATAAATAATAGTTGGCAATTTCAATGATAGTATTAAGATGTTACAAAATAGATGTATTTAACCACTAATGTGTCATTTAAGAGGCGGAAAACGCTGATTTTAAAATTCCGCTTCCTTTCTCTATTATTTATTATTCAAACATTTTTAACAATTGCCTGTAATTTTATTAATTTATCCTTTTCTTATTTATTGATTTTACCATATATGGATGAGGACGTATTTTCAAATTTGTAGGAAAAGCATTTCGAGTCGTAACGTTATTTTCTTTTCTTTATTACTATTATTATTGGTTTAGAATAGTCAATTTCTTCTATCTTTCAAATATTTTTAATAAAAAATATTTTCATACATTTGATGATAATTTTATACTATTATTCTTTTCATACTTAATGGTTTCTATTATTATAATTTAAAGTAGTAAGAATAATAATTTTAAAGTGGTACATTTGTTAACGAACTGTTTACGCCGGCATACAGTATAAAAGTGTGTGTTCATGCGTGTATATATATATATATATATATATATATATATATATATATATATATATATATATATATATATACTTTGGCTAGATGGAACTTGTCAGCCCGGTATCTAAGAGAATGAAAACTGATTTTAAGCCTCTGATGCCTTGCAGGTATACCCAATAATGGGAAAGGCTTTGGGAGTAAACCCTGGGGATAAATCCGGAGCTGGAGTCGCTAAGAGTGTCCGATGTTATGCTCAACTTTGCCCTGGCAATTCCCTTCGAAGACGTCGGTGCCAAATTGTACTAGACTTTAGTTTTTCCTTGGACAACACCGGTGACGTGGAGAGGGGAGACGTGCTGCATGGGCTACTGCGGATCTCTCATTAAACCCTGCCCGGCAAAACACGGGAATCAAAACTCTACTGATTGGAGGTGGGTATTCTGAAGGTCTTCCTGTACAGGGAACTGGCCACTAGCAAGTGGACAGGATAACGACCTCATCTTCGCTTCAAGGACGTCTGAAAAGGGGACATGAGGATGATAGACATGGACATTGAGAAGTTAGAAGACGTCGATTTACACCGAGGGCTGGAGCGAGGAGAGAAGAAACGGCGGCTTACCGTCGAAGAAGCGTATTCAAAGGAAAGAAAATAACAATTACAGATGATCAGTTGCTTTTGGCCAGGTCCATAATCTCTCGAGACCGACAAATGCCACATATATGCACCATTTAGTTCCACTAAGTTTTTTGAAGCAGTTTCATGATTCCATCCTCTCAGAAGTTGACACGTTTCTGTTCATTAATTTTTCCATAAAAATTGTGAGTCGCCAAAACATCGTAGCGATTCACGTATTTAAGTTCAAAAACACTTCAACGCTCACATGAGATAGGTGAAGTATATCTGAAATGATGTCTCGCAGACTGAAATCCTGCCGGAGCGTTCATGGTCATCTGGAACAAAATTGCGACTACTGAACTCAGTAAACCATTTACAAACAGTACTTTCAGCTATGACACCATCTCCATAAATGGCACATCTTTTTTTTTCCAGAAATGGCATTAAAATCAGTTAAAATTTACAATCCATATATGAATTGAACAGAAACACGGGTTGAAATGTGGTTTTTCAGAATATGTGTATATGTCATAAATTTCAGTCACGTATGCAACGAAATCACGGATTCAAACGCTACTTACTTCAAAAACATCATGAACTTTTGTTTCGATCTAATACAATTACTTATTTTATTTAATCTCTTGCATTGGAAACAACTACTGTCGATGGGACTGACTATTGAATTTAAGCTTTTCTATTAAAAACTTGACAGAAGAATTAACTTCTCGGGTTCATAGTTCACTAAACATGAATTCTACGATTTTTTATATCATTGCGCTATGGATCGAATTTCATTAAATGTACTGATGTCTGCAATATTTCCTGGAATACCAGTTGCACATTTAGAAGTATCCTACTGATAAATAAAAAGAAATTCTGTATTATTCTGTTAAATAAATGTATCAATTACATATGAATGCTTATTAGTGCATTTGGCTTTTATCATCATCTTTGTTGTTTCTATCACTAAGTTTCGATCGAGTTTTGTTTTTCAAATATATTCTTCATTTTTATGAAATTCTGACTGTTGCTGTCATTATAAGTATTTTCGTACTTAGCCTATTTAGAATTAAATTTCGACCGGAGTGATTTGCGACCTTCCTTTAGTAGATTTTTTATCTTGTAAATAATTCTAAATCAGAGCACCAATTAATCCCGTCGGCAGCAATAATATACACATTTTGTCGTTTTTGCATCTGGAAATACGAAAAGAGGTCTTTCAAATTCATGATTGAATTTCAAGTATCACTGCAGACATCTTCCCAAATGATGTCGGAAATTACTGTTTGGGTTGTAAGTTTAGACTCTTTCATAAAGTTATAATTGGTTTTCTTTTTAATTCTTCACATTCTAATTTTTTTATTCAGATTTTTCTTTTGTTTTTGTCTTTTTGAAATTCGGTTAAAGATTTTGCTGATATTTTTTCGTCATCATATGAGATTACGATAATATAAGAATATTATCAGTATTCATATTTCCTTTTATTTAGCCTGCAGTGAACTGCGTGACAAATATCAACATTTACTAATTCCTTTGTATATACTGTTGAAAGTGATTTGACTAAAGTGAACACAACAAAAAAAGATGATCGCCTGGAAAAGAATTTTTTTAGCCTTGGCAAAACCGACTTTGTCTTTGGAAACTCAATAAACAAACATTGGCAAAGAAAAGACGTGATGATTTCAAATTAAACAAATACACATTGACTGAATTCAACATTTGGCTTTGGAAAACCAACTGAGAAAATAACAGACGATAAAACGGAAAGCAAAAAAGGTTACAAATAAAGAAGTAAAAAAAGAAAATATAGTAAAATAGAAAAGAAAACACATAAAAGGAAAGAAGTAACGAAGAAGTGAATAGGGAAAGAAGTAAAAAAGAAAACTAATGAGTAATCTAGAGGAGAAAAGAAAAGAAGAATATCAAAGACAGAAATTAACAAGGAGAAATTAAAAGCAAAATAAAATAAACAAATAAAGAAAAAAAGTAAAGATTGAAAAAGTATGAAAAAAAGATGAATTGATGAAAGAGAAGTGAAAAGAAAGAAACAAACAAACACTGAAAGGCGAGAAAAAATGAAAAAAGAAACTCATTAAACAAATGGATGAAACATGACGGCATTGTACATATCTTAGATTTTACAGATTTTTACGCTTTTCTTTGTGAAATGTTTTGGTGAGGGAATGATTTCAGAATCTTTATAAATAACAAATGATATAGCAAGTGAATTTTCCTGCCGTGAAAATGAACTTCTTTGTCTAAATTATTGATGTCCCGAAATAGAATATAAACATAAAGATATAAAGATGCTATGAGGGCGCGATAAATATATCCTGTTTCAATCATTCTTCCTTAAGATGATCACGGACAAAGAGTGTAACTAGTGTTACGATTTGCTATCCGCTACACGACAATTTCAGAAAAAGGAAACAGACAAGTCACTCAATGAAAAGAAAATATTGACTTTTTTTAATTATAACACATAATGACTGCAAGAACTAAAAAAATGTGTGAAAAATAATAAAATTTAAATGACTGAGATTCATTGAGCAAGAAGCGGCTGAAAAGAGAATGACTTGAATGAAGGAAATGTGCCCTTATACAGACACATAGACAGGAGGGCGCTCACGCATACTCTTTCTCTCTCTCTCTCTCTCTTTGTGTCTCTCTCTATATATGTGTGTGTGTATGTGCGTGTGCACGCGCGCTCGCGCGTGCATGAGTGCGTGTATGTATATATATATAATTATGAGAAAATTACTTTGTAGGCTGACACTTAGCTGCACTGAAATTTGAAATTGCCACTTCATAAAGTCTTATATGATTAATATTCACCACTGAATTAAGCGCACTGACACAGAAGGAAAACAGATATTGATGTAACCAACTATATCTATATATGTCTATCTGTCAATAGATAGATAGATAGATAGATAGATAGATAGATAGATAGATAGATAGATAATATACGGGAAGCAATAATCATGTGTACACCCGTCGAGTTGGTCGTTATTGTCTTGGAACTTACCCAAAGGATTTAATGTTTCCTGCCCAAAAAAAAAGCGTAGTCCGACCGAGTCGAGGATCCAATCAAAAGTGAGAATCCGCCAAATATTTGGACGTTTCTTCGTCGAGGTGAGTAGTGTTTGCCAAACAGCACGACGCTTCATAGATGAACCAATCAGATGACGTTATCGTAACTCTTGATCTATTAGCAAATTGTTCTTTCGATGGCAAGTCCATAAAAGTATCTAACATCGCGAAGGTCAAGACATTTTCACTTGTAATTCGACAATCGTTGAAAATCGAATCAAGAAATAAAAACAATAATTGATTTTGGGTATTTGTATTAAACTTAGAGGAAGAAAATGGATTTACGTGGAAGACTATAAATATATGAGAACAGAATCAGCGGGGTTCCGCGGCTTGTGAAATGATGGCGAAAATATATATTTTTTGGTTGATTAGAAAACAATTGAATAATTGTGAATACAAATCTAAGCTATTAATATATATATATATATATATATATATATATATATATATATATATATATATATATATATGGGGGTAGGTTGAAAACTTCATAGACTGACTATGAAGGAGTGATTGTAGAGCTGTGAAATATTGCATCCAATGACGATGTTTTAAAGAAAATGGAAACAAAAAAGATACTTATACTTAACGTCAGAAAGAAGCAGTTGAAAATCTAACACTCCTAGGACATATTGCAGACGAGGGAAAGAGTGAAAAGACGCATAACCTACCTTACTAGTTTGTGTAACTGGATGGCAGTTTAAGAGAGATAATAAAAATGCAAGATTTACGAAACGCTACAGAGAACAGGAAATTTTGGAGATCCATGATCGCCAACGATCTGAATTGAAACGGCACACAGAAGCATATGAATTTACAAGAATCATGCCGATGGTAAATAACGGCCTTCATTTTATGGAACATATTCGTTCATTTCATACTTTAAGTTCTTCCAACAGCATCTTTTTTTTATCGACGAGTGGGTACTGAAAATTTCTCGATCGAACCTAGTACAAATTTGGTTTAGGATGCGTCTCTATTCGTGCCTCCTTCAGTATTTAAATTCTTTGCAATTATCTGGCCTTGAATACCGAAAGTGACTTAAGGAGATAGGTAGTTCTCCCAAGTACTAAGTATATATTATATATACATTGGTATCTCCACAGTTTCAAATAAGCATACATGATGAAAACATGCGACAAACATAATAAAAACAAAGATTTATCATCAATGTTATTATTAAGAAAAGCAAAAGATTTTTTGATTATTAAATTATTTATTATATTATTTACTAGCAGTAGAGCCCGGCGTTGCCCGGGGATGTAACAGTAAGAGATAGATCAAGTATCGACTATCATAAAGACTGAAAAATTAAATTGACAAAGATTATTGTTTAAGGTTGACGGACATGCATGTCTTATTTTTTTTTTTTTTTACGAATTGGTCAAACCCAAATTCAAACAAAAACATTGTTTACAATCTTTATGAGTCTATCGATTGGTGAATAGAATTTTATTATAAACAATTGTCTTGTAAATGGAATTTTTAAAGCATTCTGAATGTAAATAAAGAAAAAAGTGTGCAAGACAATAAGAAATACTACCCGCCGAAAAAAAAAGTGGATGTTTGTTTTATCGGCTGAAAAATGTAAGAAATCCGATCCCATATATAAAGGAACACACACACACACACACACACACACACACACACACACATAAACAACCTGGGTCTTTTAACCTAAGTCACTCCACGGAATCGCTAAAACATAGAGCATAGTCTGATGATAAAGACGCCAAAGTTTATGAAAACAAAATTTTATCGTCAAAATGCTTATTTTTTTATGAAGAGGATAGACTAAATTTTTTTTTAATTATTTTTTAAAAATGTTTCCATCTTTTTAGAATATTCTAAATTTTGATTAAAAAAACCTTGTTTCTCTTTGTCGCAACAAGGGTAGTAAATAACATAGATAATTTTAGCGCATTTTTTTGTATTTACACACATTAATTTGGAAAATCTTGCAAAAAAATAAAATAATTGTCAGATGTTAATGAAACTTTCAGAAACTATTCACAGATGATCGAAATTATTATAAATATATTTTTTTTATTAAAGACATGGCAGAAATATTTTTTTTTATATTTATTAACACCCCATAAGTAATTTTATGAAAACTCAAGAAATTCGAGACCATCGGTTTTAGTGATTACAGTAGTTAAAAGCACAAGGCTTTGAAGAATGCAAATCATGTTTTTTTTTGGTTTTTTTTTTTTTTTTTGGCCAACGTACCTGAAAATCAGCTGTGAATTGTAACATACAAAACTCAATAAAACAAATATATTATTTAGTTTCAAATGCTTTTATTTGTTTTTATGAATATGGACAATATTTTCTGAAAGCAAAAAATTTTTTCAATGAAAATTGAATTTTTAATACAATTATTTCTTATTTCTTTAATTTTAAAAAGATTTTTAAAAACTGTTTAAATTGAATTTTTTTAAATATTTTAACATTAGTTAAAAGCAACATCAACCTTTCATAATGTCCATGTGAGATTGTCATTGTCTAGCGCTTTGAAAATTGTATAATTTGGATAATCAGATTAGCCATGGTAATTAAGAAATGTAATTTTTGTGTTTATAGTCGGACAGTAATTATCAAGTACGGAAGACCAACCAGAATACAATTTAGTTGCATTATTTGAGTTCAGCATTGTTCTCCGCTGTTAAGCCCTTTACTTTTGCGAAACACGTATGGAGAAGGGAATTTGAGTTTTCAATTTCAACTGAGAAGGGTACCTACAAGTAACAGTATCATCTTATGAAATTTAACTACTGCTAAACTTTAATTTATATGATCTTATTTTTATATTAATCTCAGTTATGACATTTTTCCATAAATGAAATATCAAAATTAATAATAAAATGAATGGAAATACAAATAACACAGTAAAATGTAATAAATGTACATAAAATTATAGTATTTTATGAACACTTCTGATAAAATTTCATAAGAAAGGTACCTAAATTAATTAGATACCTTTTTTTTATGAAATTTAATCTCACTATTAACAGTCTTATTTTTGAATTTCTTTATATTTTCCATAAAGCATCGTAAACGTAAATATGAAAGCTAAGTACAAAAAAAAATAAAAAAATAAAAAATAAAAAATTAGAGCGCTGAAAGTTTTCCTTAAAAGTAACAAGGTAAATAATTTGTTCACTTAAATAATTTCACTTCCTTCCATCCGTAGAAAGAATTCTCCTCCCGTAAGTCATCTAAACGTCATGAATGTGCCTTTCGTCAATCGTCAAGCGACGCGAAAGGTTATGACCTGCTTTATTTTATTTTCAAATTACATTTTTCGGCGCAGAAGTTGTTAAGCTTGGTTCAAAATATTTTAAATAAACAGTATAATATCTGTTTTTATTAAAATCAGTTTGAAAAAAAATGATAATTGACTTTTAAAAAGAATATCAAAGTAAGATTTTAATCTTTTTATCAAATCGAAAAAATGATTGAAAATGATTATCTGCCTTTTTTTGACCAAAAAAAAACAATATTTTTAACGAAAATTTCAGACGTGCTAGGAACGATTAAAAAATATAAAAAATACCCCAAAATACTTTTGATCTTTCCTCTTTAATAATAATATGAACATTAGACAATAAAATTTTGTTTTCGTCAAGTTCGGCGTCTTTTTCATCATGCTATGCTCTTTTTGTTTACATTTTCGTGGGTGAGTTCTCCCCTTTCATTCTCACGATGTGTCTTAATCGTGTTTTCAAATTGATTTTATTAAAAAACAACTGTATTTTTTCCCATTTTTCGGTCCCGTTAGAACCACCACAAGGTAATTTTATGTAGTCCTGTGAAGTTTTGTTGAAATCGGCCAAAAAATGTAGAAAATTCGATCCAACTTATAAACGTTACAGACACACACACACACACACACACACACAACCTGCGTTTTATAATAAGTAAGATTATATTTAAGATTAGTATAGGAAATTATCAGGATTTTTTGCGGTGCAAATCACATTGATGTGGAAATTCATGTCAAAATCAAATAATTGTCAGATTTTTTTTAAATGTTTCTTTTTTAGAAAATCTTGGTAAAAAAACATTTTTTACAACTGTTTACGAAATTTTTAAAAATTCAATTTTGTACTGCTTAAAGTTTATATGCAGAATTTCAATCCTTAATTCTTCTTTTGTAAAACAGTCATCTCAGTTATCAAAAATTTGCTTAGAATTGTAAGCTGAAAAAATCCAATAAAACTAAGACATTATTTAATTAGAAAAAGTTTTTAACTGATTTGAGGAAAAAGATATATATAGATACTATTGACAAGAAAAAATTTTTTCGATGAATTTTTAAAAGAATTATTTTCATTTTTTAAAATTTTAATTGGAATAATTTGTAAAGTTTTGAATCTTTTAAAATTCTGTATTTATATATACGGGTTAGGTGATATTGTTACTAAGTAAAAATTAAATTTACTAATCATAAATGGAAAATCTTACCACAATTCAGCGACCTCAGTACTTTTATATGTGTGTATAAACCATTTTCTGTAAATATAGACGTCCATACGCGATATTATCAGAAAATAAGAGCAGTAAATATAGTAAATCTAAAGCTAAAGTACCTAAACTCCAATAAAATATTAGATTACATAGAGTTTCAAGATTACTGGGTAGTTAAATATTATATAAAAAAGGCACTCGCATTATTTAACTCAAGTAATTTTTACAGATATGTCTTCCGTAGAAAAAAAAAATTAGTTAAATTTTCGGGTGTCAATCAATCTGTCAAGCTATCAGCAACTTAAGTAAAAACTTACTTCCGTGTTGAAAATGATTTTTTTCTATATTTGTTGAAACTTGACTAATGCATGGAATAATAATTCAACACAAAATGTACTTAGAACAAAATGTATTGAAACAAGAAAGTGTACACAATATTTACATATAGTCTTTTGTATATTTCTGGTAAGACCGTTCCTGGAGAATGTGTTGGGCAGAGTCTCTGGTTGAATCTCTTGATTCCTTCCTCTCTTCCCGGTACCAACCATATTTATATGGTCGGTACTCCACTATGCAAATTAGGTGGATCCTACCACAACAATATTTTAAACTAAGATTTGTTTAAAATCAGACTGATTAAAGTTTAAATAAAGCTAATATTTCTCAAATAAAGTTTCAAAAAGTTATATTTTATTTTTTATATTTTTAATAAAGATAATGTGATAACAGATGGCTAAAAATCGCTACTTTCTCTTTCTTCTCTCTCTCTCTCTCTCTCTCTATATATATATATATATATATATATATATATATGTATATATATATATCAGGCTGTCCGTCATTGCTGACGACAGCGCTGTTCTTCTATCGACTGTCTTCTGTGGACTGCCAAATGAGATAGCAGCCCGATCCGCGAGCGACAAGTTCTCGGGCACAGGTAGCAGGGAAACATGCCCTGTGTGGAATTGGCATGTTGTAGATGACGCTGGCGTCGCCTCCCCTCGAGCGCTCCTCGTCTCTCCTCCTCGAAGCGCGCCACTTCTGTGATGTAGAGAGAGTGCCGGCCGATCCGATCACTTGCGAGATTCTATAATTGTGTCGAGTCAATGTTGCAGGAGACAAGAGCACGCTTAAGATAGTCTTGGAATCGTTTCTTTGGACCTCCACGTGGGCGACTGCCAGTTTCGAGCTCTCCGAAGAATACAATTTTGGCGAGGCGAAGCAATGGCCCGGCATCTACACATGTCCAACCCAACGTAGAATGCGTTGTCGGATGATGGCTTCAATGCTGAAGATTTCTGCACGTTGAAAAATTTTGGTGTGGGGGATTTTATCTCTCCAAGTAACGTGCAAGATGCGCTGAAGAAAGCGGATGTGGAATGTCTGAAACAGTTTTATTTGTTGGCGATACAGGGTTCAGCATTCACAGCCGTACAGCAGTGTTGAAACAACAACATATCGATGGAGAGCGACATTGGTGTTGAGTCGGAGGTTCCTATTGGAGAAGACTTGGAGGCGGAAACGTCCGAAGGAAGCAGAGGTAACGTTTATCCGCCGGAGAATGTCTTCATCAATGCATCCATTACGAGTATGACGCTGCTGAGGTAGTTAACGTTAGACAACGAAACGTTGTCAATGCACAGCCTGGCTGTTGGATCACGTCGTTTAAACGCTGTTTGAATGCCATCTGTTTTATTTGGCAGCATCGTCGGTATATTGCAGTTCATAGACAGAGAAGTTAGAGGTCAAATTATTAGGTTTGAGACGTCGGGCAATGAAGACATATACGCATTCCTAGAGAGAAGAGTCACAGCAACTAGATAGATGTTAAAGAACGGGAAGAAAAAAACGCAGCCTGGTTTACCTCCCGTATGCACACTAAATCTTTTTGATGAGGTTCCGCGACGGATCCTCTAGCGAGCATATCCTCGTGAGATTGGCGAAGAAGACCCAGAAAGGTCGGCAGGCAGCCTAATTTACCAAGCAAAAGCCATAGTCTCCCGATTGACCACATCAAAAGCTTTATTTAGGTCAACGAAAGCAAAATTATATACCACTAGCATCAAACAAGTAAATTTTCTTGAATGTCACCACAGTTCTTTTCAACCTTATATGAAGGAAAATTATTTGCCTCCAGGTACCCAAACATCTGTGAATGTGATATGAACAAATGTTTAATGTGAGAAAATACACTTATACCAAAAGGATCCGCTTCAGACCATACCCTTCCTCATTGGACTTAGTACCTCCCCACCACCATTAACAATACCTCAGCGACGATGATGACTGCTGTTGGTTACAAGAGCAAATAATAAAATCTAAAAACAATGAATTATTAAATTTTATTTGTAAATCAATTCAATTCTTCGTTTCTTTTTGGCAAATTCCTTGATCACTTTGTTGTATTTTCCCCACCCTTTACCTTTATCTACTTTAAAAGTTCTTTATTCATGGAAATGAAAACCACATTACTTAATCGCTCTTCACTTTGGGAACACCTCATATTTACAAGCGTTATTTAAAAAAAAAAAAAAAGATAAGCAGATTTGGCAAGTATGGTCAGAATCAGATGTAGACGTAGACATTTTTATTAAATGTTTAAATAAGTTTCTTATCGCTTGACCACAGATGTCAGAATATGGCGTTGATCGATGACTGGAAAAGTAAAAATTTTGACGTAAAGTAAATAAATATTATTTTAAGTTAAATTGTTTTAATTACCACAATGTTCTTTTAAGATAAAGTTCAACTTTTCTTCTTTAAAATAACACCAGCATTACTACATGAAATTTGAATTTAAATACTTTTAACCTAAAATTAGGTATTGCAGTGATTTAAAAAATGTCCTTAAACAAAATTTAACATGTTTAATGAAATAATATACAATATTATTAAGGATATTTTTTTTTATATAAGTGTAAAAAAATTATTTTGAACAATTAAAATTAAATTTTAAATTATTGAAACAGATGAAAATTTACCTTCTAATCTCTAAAAAAAAAAAAAATAAGACTTCACCGGTTGTTCTTTTTCGCTCTACGTATACACTGGTCAAAAATTTTCTGTGTATTATTCACATGACTAAATCCTGGCCTTAAGAAGGTGCCCAAATATTCTCCACGGGTTAAAATTTTTGAAAAGTCAGTAAAAAGAGCACTTTTGATGTGACTCTAAAGTCGTCAAGCATTCTCTATATATTGTTCAGAACTAAATGATACAATTTTGAACAGTCAAGTCTTTGATATCAGCCGCAGGCAATAAAATCATCATCACTTCAGTAGAGAATGTCTGTTGGCTTAATACGGCTGGAAAGCAAGCAAAAGAATTCCTGCTTTTCGGCGGCTTTCTTTCTGTGAACCCCCAATTTATTATTCTGTCTCTCTTTTTCATGCACCCAGCTTGAAGAAAATAATAAAACAGGGAAGGTTAAAGTCACGATCTTTTCTAACGCAGGCAAAAGAAACTCTGCTTTTCGATGACTGTCTCTCTTACATCCACTGACTATTATGTTCTGTCTCTCATACTCCTTACTAAAAAGGCTTATAAATTCATTGCTTTTACTTGCGTCTTTTCTCAATAAAGAACAAGCGTTTTCTCTGCTTACACTCACTAAATAATATCGCTCGTAACAATTATCCTAAGGAATGAAGAAATGGGAAATACAAAAAATACAATATAAAGAGGATAGAAAAAATTATCAACAATTAATTTTATATTACACAAAATTATTTATCCAGGAAAAAATATAAGGCATGCAGTGCATGAGTTACATAAATGGACCCTTCGGCCTATATATATATATATATATATATATATATATATATATATATATATGTGTGTGTGTGTGTGTGTGTGTGTGTGTGTGTGTGTGTGTGTGTGTGTGTTTTCGACTATATTAAGGAAAACAACAACGAAGGAGTTACTGTATAAAGAAAGAGAAAATAATATAAAAGGAAGAGTGAAGAGAACAGTGAGCGCTTCCTTCTCTCATACCACATTTGTCTTGGGCTGTTTATTTAGTTGCTATGGCAACGAAGATGATATTTCAAAGCCGGTTACGTATGCATGTTCCAAATCGAGTACAATGTTGTGTGCTTGTGAAAATGACAACACAATGGCTGTTTCTTTGCATTTAAGTAGTATAATTTGTCAGAAGGAATGCTGCCTCGGGTAAGCTCACATTCTACGCAAGATTAATTCTTGTCTTCGCTTCAGAAAACAACACATTGTAACATTATTGACTCCGTGTTTTTTAGTCCCGTATCGAGATTTTAGGTTCAACACGGAAGGGATGTACCTCAATGTTTTTGTTTTAAATTACCAAAAATCAGGGAATAATCCAATTTAAATGAAAATTTCACTACTTATTTTGTAATAAATGGATATTATACTGAATACGTAATTTTATTAGGAAACTTTGGAAATTCATTTACACCTCATTTCGATACAGTGTAAATGCTTTTAAAATTTATTGGGGTGATGACAAATATTGTTTATAGTTTTAAAAAGAGAAATCCCTGAAGATATTATTTTCTTATAAAAATTTTTGCAATATCAAATCAGAAAATCTTGAAAGTTTCTTTTGAAACCTCAGAAAAATAATTTAATAAAAACTAAATTGTGCTTTTTTCATAGTTGGTGCAGCATAATTTAATAAAATATATAATTTTTTTTTCGGATTGGACAAGGAAAAATCTACTGTACAAACAATATTTATTTTTAAAAAAATTTTTTGCAATATTTAATTTTTTTCGGCTGCTGATGACAAATCAAATGTTATTTTTATTAAATATCAAATATAAAACTTTTAAAATTTAATGACATTTTTGCATCATAAATATTTTTAAAATAATTTTTATTTTATTTATTATTTTCCCAGCTGTTAGATTTCTTTTTCTTTGGAATATCAAATAGAAAAAAGTTCTGAATCACCACCCTCTTGGGAGATTAATATCTTAGCATTGAATGTTGTTCTGTTTCTGCAGTTGCATATTGGATCCTTGGTTACATTTTTGTAGGTTGTCATTTTTTTGTTGTGGCTTTTGATTATTCCTGTTATGTTTTTTGTACAGCTGTAACTGATCTTTACGTTATTTTTATTAAATATTTTTGATAATTTGTTTTCTTCAGTGAAGTGTTTTTATATTAAGTTTAGGAATATTTTGCCTATGTTCGTTTTAACAGTTTTGTTATATGGTGGATTAAACCAGATAATGTTTCTCTTTCTGTTTCTGCGTTTTGGCTGTGGAGGTATATATTGTAGTTGTTGTGTGTAACCACTTGCTTTTAGTGCTTCGTTGTATGGTGCTATTTTGCTATTGAAAATATGTATGTTAGACGAGTTCTCAGATAGTCTGCGGCTGATTGATTTTAGTATTTGTTTGATGATAGAAGGTGGATGGTTGGAGGATGTGTGTACGTAAGTTGGTGTGTCATTTTCTTTTTTGTATGGTTCATATGTGTTGTTGATCAGGTTAAGAGTGACGTCAAGGAAGTTTACTATAGTTGTGCCTGTATTTATCTCTATTTTGAATCCAATGTTTTTAGGGCGTCCACTATTTTCTTCCTGAATTTTTGTCTACTTTGGGGCCATTGATTCCCTTATTAAGATAAGACCGTCATCTCTGTATAATCCTGTGTCCTTTCTCTCCAGTATTCTGGCCAGGTATGATAGGTTGAGTATGCCTACTAATTCGCATATTTTTGCTCCATCGTAGCTACCCATTGTTACGTCAAACAGGTTGTGGTTTTGTTTCTTTGCCCATGGTTCATTGTTGTGCAACAGCATAGATTTGCGGCAATGCTTGATTATTTTTATATCACCGTCCGTGATTTTTACATTTAGCTGTGCCAGTTGTATGGCTTTATTTAATATGCTTTCTGTAATGGAAGGATAAAAATCCACAATGTCAAATTGGATGAAAGTGGATTTGTTCTTGTTGTCTATCGATTTAAACCACTCTATGACGGCTTTGGTGTTCTTCCACTGGTTGAGACCTAATTTTTCTCTTAGGCTGGTGTTGATATTTTCTAATATCTTCTTACTATTTTTTCCTATCTCGCTCTTCGCCGGGTTAATTAGTCTGAATGTGGGTTTTTCTATGAAGCTGGCTTTGTGGTCCTTTGCCGTGATGAAAGCATGTTGTTCAGCTAGTTTGTTTACTCTTTCATCTATATTCAATTTGGTGGCTATATTTTTGGCTTCTTGGTTTATAATGTTTATTGTGTTCGTGTTTGTCTTTTTTGTATAGTTGTGTAATTTTGTTGGTTAAGAGTTGATTGTAGGCTGTAGGTTCTATGGTATATATGTTTGTGGTTTTGTCAGCCAAAATGAATACCTTGTTGGAGTTGATTATTTTTTTCCTGTCGTCTATGTCTTTTTTCTGGAAATTGTCCAAGTGTCTTTTGAATTTCAAGCTTCTAACTATGTTTATCATGTCCTCTTCGAATTTTAACATTTTCTTGCATATTGGTGGGCACTTTTTTGTATTAAAGTTGAATGTCTCGGGTTTTTCAGTTGTTTGGTTTTTTGGGTCGTTGAAGGAGAAATATGCCTTCCATCTCATTCGTCTTATTAGACTTTCGATGAAGCTTGAGTAGGTATGGGGATGTTTTTCAGTGAGTATCGTAGGTCAAATGTATCCATTATCGTAAAAAGAATGGCGCGAGGGCTCATCCCATGGGGGAGCGAAATATTTTGCGATCGTCAGACAAACTGATTAATGTTTTAAAAAATTTGGGTTTATGTAGATTGCGTGTATTGGTGTTATTGTGGAAGTGGTGGGGGAAATTTCGTCGTTTTGTCATTCATCGTACTAACGCAAACATCGATATATGCAGACACATATACATACTTGGTCGTCCGTCGGGACTCATATATATATATAAACGTATGTGGGCAGTTTCGGCTATAACACATGTATG